ACTGCCCTAATGGAGTGAGTTTGTATCTGGTCAGGGACCGGTATATAATTCAATGAATAGCACATTCTATTACAGTAAGATACGTACTTAGAAAGTCTTCATTTAGAAATAGCTTGGCCCTTAGAATGGTCTGCTATTGATAGAAAAAGTGTAGGGGACTGTCTAAATTGTTTTGTCTGGTCTAGATAAAATTCAAGTTCCTGGAGTATATCTAACATGTGGAGGCAAGCAACATTGGCATATCGATACCATTTTGGGTGGAAGATAGGTAGGTCCATCAGTTAATTAACATGGAATAGTGACATGACCTTGGAAGGAATTTTGGGTGAGGTAAGCGCTATGTTGTCCTTGCAGAAAATTGTAAACAGAGGGTCGGCCATGAATGCAGCAATCTCACTGACTCTTCTTGCTGTGATGATGGCAATGAGGTAGGCTACCTTCATTGAAAGATGTAGTAATGAGCAAGTTGGCATTGATGCAAAAGGTTGCCCCGTCAATGTTGTGAGAACCAAGTTTAAAATCCCACCAAGGAGATGACTGCTTTAGTAGAGGAAAAGCATTATCGAGTCCCTTCAAAAACCCTTTATGGCTGGGTGAGCAAAGACCAAGTGACCATTTATAGGCAAATGCCCGCTTGATATTGCTGCCAGGTGGCTGTTAATGGAACAGTATAAAAGGCTCTGCTTCTTTAGGGAGAGCATGTAATTCAGCACTTTAGGTAGATGTGCTGAATGTGGGATTATAGTGTGTTCTGCAGTCCAATGTTTAAAATGTTGCCACTTCTGAGAGTAAGTTTTTCTGATACTTGATTTCCGGCTAGTCGCGATTAACTGTTCAACTTTCTCCAAAAAGGTTAAGTGCAATCCTGCTAGCCCTTCAAGGACCATACTGGATATCTGGATGAAGGATGCGTCCAGAGTCCTGAAATAGGACATTTGGAATCTGTGGAAATCTAAACTGAGGGGCTATGGCCATCTGGGCTAGGTAGGGGAACCATATCTGCCTGGGCTATCAGGGTGCTATTAGAATTACTTGAGCCCTGTCTTGCTTTATTTTCCATATAAGTTTGCTGAGCAGTGGAATGGGGAGAAAGATGTACATGAATCTGACTACCTGATTATAAGGGCATTCCGCATGGAGTTCTTGCCCAGGCCACTTCAGAAGCAGTATCTGAGGCATTTTGCATTGTGATATGTGGTGAACAAGTCTATTTCTAGAAAGCCCCATGATTGACATACCTAATGCAAGACTTGAGGGTGGATTTCCCAATTGTATTTCTGAAGGAAATTTCTGCTTAGATGGTCTGTCATGACATTTTGTTTTCCTGGGAGGTAAGCAACAGAAATGTCTACTTGGTTCTTTGTGCACCAATGCTATAGGTTAATGGCATCCGTGCATAGGTGATATTACCTTGCACCTCCTGGATGGTATATATAAAACATACCATCCATGAGAATTCTTACTGCTTTGTTGCAAATGAATGAAAGGAAATATTGGCATAAATACCTGACAGCTCAAAGCTATAGTACATTGATATGTTTTACTGGGGACCATTTTCCCTGAATGCTATGATTATTCAGATGTGCACACCATCCCTCTAGAGACGCATCCATAGTAACCGTGACTAAAGGAGGCTTTTGTTGGAATGGTACTCTAGCACATAGATTATTTGATTGTAGCCACCAATGTAGCAACTGTTTTACTCTTTTGGGGATGCTGGAGGGATTTCTGTAGATGATGCCCATGAGGTCAAAATCAGGTGTGAAGCCATGTTTGTAGGCAGCGCATGTGAAGCCTGGCAAGTCTTATCACATATGTCATGGCTGACAAATGGCCAAACAGTTGAAGGCATTGCCTGGATGAAACCCTGGGATTACTCAAGATGCCTTGAGCTGATGATGCTTGGAAATGATGGTATGGTTGTCTGGAAATGATGCTTGGAAATGATGGTAGTCTGGGTTGCACATGGATACAGTCCATTGTTGCCCCTGTAAATTCCAGTTCTTGGAACTTTTGGTTGTTTGTTTCAAGTCCCAAAGTGCTGAAAAGGCTGATAGTGCATGCCATATAGAAGGTTGATACCTGAGCTGTGGGATCTAGTATAGACAGTCATCTAAAAATGGGAAGATTAAAACTCCTGACTTCCTGAGATGTGAAATTGCTACTGCTAGAACCTTGGAGAATACCCTTGAGGCCATTGCTAGGCCAAAGGACAGAACACAGCACTGGTAATGCTGGTCTCAGATTGAATCAGAGAAATTTCCCGTGTGATGGAGAAATTGTGATATGAAAGTAAGTGTCTTGTATATCGAGGGATGACATCCAATTTCCTTTCTCTAGAGATGGGATTATCTTTGTGAGAGTGACCATAGTAAAGTGCTGCTTCTTTAGAAATCTGTTTACTCAGCATATGTCCAATATGGGTCTCCATCTTCCCTGTCTTTTTGGATGTTAAGTAGTAACAGGAATAAAAACCCTTTCCCCTATGTTGAATTGGTACTTGCTCTGTAGCTCCTATACTGAGGAGTTTGTCTATCTCCCGTTGTAGGAATATCTTGTGGGAAAGGATCCCTGGAAAGGAACAGGGATGGGGTTTTTATGTCCTTTGGGAGCTATTCCATAAAAAAAATCATTTTTTCAAAAAAAATTAGATTTGCTAACAATGCCAAGTAATTGGCAATCCTAAATTGCAGCTAGGCCTAGGAATATGCCTTCCTTCCGAATATATCTTGCCTCTTCCAATCTTTGTCATTAGGTGTAAATCGGAAGTGGACCTGTGTTCCTCTTGGGTGAACAGCCTCTGTGACCAAGGAATTGGGAGCTGGGTGAGTAATAAAAACTCTGATCCTTTCACTGGGATGTAGTATTTTCTATCTGCTCCCTTGGATGAGGAAGAAGGAGGGATACCTCTGTTTCCAGCAAGTCAGCTGCTCATTTAAATATGTTGTGAAAGGACTTAAAATCATCCCTGCTGTTGGGGGTGGAGGCATAATTGTGAGGAGATAATGACAACAGTGAGTTGGAGGGAGAGAGTCATCCTGCTGGGTGTCCTCTATGTCCTCAATGTCTGCCTGGGCTGTCTCGTATCTAGTTGACTGTGATGGTCTTAAAGGTGCTGGCTGTGGTTTTTGAGGCACTGGGGCATGGGTTGTAGCCATCCGCACTCTATAAGGAGACCATGGCCCCATCTCTGTGAGGGTAGAGGAAAATGTATGGGAGTGAATTAAGGGACTAGCTATCACATCTGACCCCGGTTTTGCTGTTGCTGGGGGTATGATGTAGGTTTTTGTGATGAATGTTGTGGAGAGAATGAAATCGCCTCATCATCATCCTCTTCATCACCGGAGAATGGGGGAAAAGAGCTGGATGGATGTGGCAAGCCTGTTTCGTCCTTCGAGTGTTGGAGTGCCATTGGTACCAAATGAGGCCACCACCAGATCCTCATGTGATGTTAGAGGATGTGTTGTGGAGAATACTGGTACCAAGGTGGATATGGGAGCAGTTTCTGTATGCACTGTAGCCAATACAGGAGCAGCATCGGTTCATACTGGGGTCAACTTGGTGCATGTCCACAGCACTGGTTTGGATGCAGTCTGCATGGAGGAGTCTAAGTGCCCTGTAGGTGCAGTGTACTGTGTCGGCTTTGGTGCCAATGTGGTCTTTTTTGCCTTAGAACAGGAGCCCCACAGGGCTCTTGCTACATTTAGACAACAGAAGCACAGCAGTCAGCAACTGGTGTGAACAGGGACTGCTTGAGTCCCTGCTTGCCCCGGGTTCCCCACTGAACTTCTGCCTTTGAAATATTGCAGCAGGCAGCTCTTACTACATTTCAAAGGCAGAGGTGCAGTTGGCATAGCAAGCATCCCACCCCCCACTGACTAATTGAGTAGTCGATTAAAATTCCACGGGGCAAGCCCCACTGACTAATCGAGTAGTCGATTAAAATTCCATCGACTACTTGATTAGTTGATTAATCAAAATTTAACATCCCTAAGATGCATATGAACTTTTATCATTAGAATTATCAGAAAAATCAATATAGCATTTCTCTGTTATGATGGATGCATTTGATAACCTGGATGTAGATTAAGAGTTCTTTCAGCACTCACTTGAAAGGCTAGAGGATTTTGAATTTCTAACAAAGATATTTTTTTTCCAAGTATTTCCTAGGCATTTTGGACAAACAGATGTTAAAAGGGAGGAAGGAAGGGTAGGAAATCCCTCCAATAGTGTAAGTTGTCACTGATCCATGGTCCAAAGAGTATTTTGAATAATCTGAATGATTAAATCATCTCAAGTTTGTTTCAATTGGTTGAGCTCTCTGAAGTTATAATCGGAATATATCAATGATACAAAAATGCACAAAATTTTGTCCTTTTGTGAAGTGAAAAAAAACTCTAACTGAATTTTGAAGGTTTGATAAAATCTTTGTTTCAGGAATCAGCAAACTAAAAATACATTTATCTTCTGAAGTGTAATTTAGTATGCCACAGTTCTGAAAAATATCCTCTATATTATATTATATGTAATATACTAACAATGTAAGGCAATTATTTAACTTTTTCTGTCTTACTGTAGCACTACTTTTTAAAGTCACACATCAACATCAGGGTTACTTTCAAATTATGTAAAAGCTTGTTTTGTTGCATATTCTGGTTAGATGTGTAAAATACTTTATGTTCAAACCACTTAATTGTTTTACTACTATTCATTCTCAATACTTTACTTCTGTGTAATTATCTCATTACTTGAAATGAAACAACTCAAGTCTGTTCTCCAAATAGAGCCATAATGCAATTCACCCTTTTCCACATGACAAACTAAAAACTAAACAATATCACTAGGTGGTAAATTATGCTTAAGTGTTCACTGGTACATCCATTTGCACACAATAACATTTTTAGTTATTAGACGCATTATTCAAATCAGTTTGTTGGCACTAGAAAGAACTGGATAATTATATTTCCTGGTCTTCATATTTTTTGATTTATCTACAGTACCTTGTTTAATCTTTTAGTAGTATCACAATTCGTTTGACATGGATTGTTGCTTTTTTCTGAATCTAAAGAAGAAACTGTAAATAAAACATACTCTACTTTACAAGGGAACAAATACACTGAAATCAACATTAAACTTGCTAATGTCCCAGAAAATAAAACTTTAAGGTTTTCTTTTCAAATTAATAAAATTACATTTCTCACTATACTTGAAGCAACTATACTGAAATTATAAATAATTATAAATAATTATAAATATAAACTGCCTTAAAAATAATTATTTTCCTCTTACGAAGATTTAATGCACTTAAATATTGGTATCTCTTTTTTTTTAAAGTGTGATTGGATGCAATACTTATTTATAGATTTTGATTCCTAAGAAATTAATAATCTTAGAAGTCTACCAATTTATAAATATTCTAATTCTTTTAATTCACATGAGCAATCCATGTTATAATTCATTAACTGCAGTAGCTGTTTAATTAAGGTATAGATCTTAATATATCACTGTTGGGTTGATGTTTTGGGTGCTTGGCCAGGCAGGAACTCCAAAAGTACAAAGTTCTGATCAATTATTTCTGCAAGGAAGTTCTTGAGCCTCCCTCAAAGAAAAGCCATTGCAATCCCTAGTGCTTCCAATGATCAGTTCCTTTCTAGTGAAAGACTAATAAGTAGAATATAACAAGTATTACTTCAGTAACTTTAGTTCTTCAAAATTATTGTCTTATGGACCTACATTCTTATGAAACATGCATGCTCTATAGATATAGGTTCATGCCTGAACCTGAATGGCTACAAACGAACTGCAACACTAACTACCACTGTTCCTTCTATTTTATGATGAATCTTTATACAACTCTGATATGAAAGATGGTGAGAAGAGTGGATCAATATAGACAAATGTTTACACTTATGCAATCATCTGCCTATACAGATCCCTATTTTGGGGAGATTAAGAAACACCAATTCACTATTATGGGGGGGGTTTGAAGAATATTAACGAGAGATTAAAGAGCTGCTCTCCAGCATTTGGCATTAGATTTACCTGGGTGGAGGCGGTGTGCCGAGGATTTGGTTGGTGACCTGGGACAGGGAGTTAAGTTTGGGAGGTGGCAGGGTGCACATGCGGGCTCTGGCCAGAACGTGCTAACTTAAGGTCCTGCTGGGTGGGAGCTGCCTAAGACAGACTTCCTACCTGCTGCAGCCCCAGGCTGCTTAAAGCAGCCAACTGTTGTGACCATGTGCCTCTCTGCGCCCTGCACCAGGAGGATAGGGGACTTTGTGCGCTGCCCTCATCATCAGCACAATCCTCGTAGCTCCTGTGGGCCAATTTGGGAGCTACAATGATTGTGTTGGGAGCAGGGCCAGGAAGCAAAGTCTCTCCCCGCTGGGGGTACATGGCACCTAGAGGTACATGATCCCAGTAGACCTGATGGTCCTAAGCTTAGCAGCTGGATCCAGCCTGTGGGCCACATTTTGCCCACCCCTACCTTACATGGACTAGGAAACTTTTATATTTGTCATAGGCTGTTTACATTGTCTAAATAGCAGTCAAGAACTCTCAATATCTAGATTATATAACCTGAAGTCCCCCAGTAATGACTGAGATTTAGAAGAGAAACTATTAATGACTGGTGTGATGAAACATTTAGGGTTTGTTCTTTCAAACACTTCACATGGACATTACAGCCATTATAAATGGAGTTTTCAGGGGGAAAGGTAGTGCAATGGGCATACTGCAAGATCTCAAATCAAGTTTCTCCATCAGGTTTAAAAAAAAATTTCAAAGCTCAGGAACACGGTTATTCATGAACATCAAAAATGGAAATGGGAAATGAATAGAAATGTCAGTCTTCTGAGAGAATTCTTTCTACTTCAAATATTTCTCACTCTTCAAAAAGATCTGCTGCATCTGTAACTACAAATGCAATCCACATTGCACAACAAAGAAGTAGCTAAACTAACAATCTCAATAATTTCAGTTCTAGGTGGAAGAATTTGTTTTGATGATATGGTGACTTTTGGAACTAGAGTGATGGAACAGGAGAATTTCAATGCAAGAACCAGGAAATCTAAAATGACAGTGCCCCGCTTGCAGCTATTACGAACTCATGGACTTTGTCTAGTTTAACTTTTCTAATGATGGCAGAAAAGCTACTAGTGAATCTAATAGAAAGTCACCCATAAAAAAACCTCTGGATATCTGTTGCTCCTGTATAAAGTCATTTTGCATTCCCTTTTGTAGACACCACATATATTTGTGCTGTTTCTCACACCTGAAAAAACTAGTAGAATACAGTCTTTTACACCCATGCCAGAGATTGTATTTTCTGCTCGGATTGTTTAAGCAGGTGTTCTTTGTAAGGAAGAAAGTTGTATTATTTTTAACCTGAACCATGTAGACATTTCTGTATTTCTGGAAAACTGCCATTTGGAAAACTGGTGGCAGTAGATTTGGAATTCAGTACATATCTTACAAAATTCAAAAAAGACAAAAAAGACTGCGCAATGGATCCATCTCGGAAACTAGGCTCCTGTTTTTGAAAGTTTACATTTAACATTAGCATTGATTGGAACAGACTGCACAATGGATCCATCTCGGAAACTAGGCTCTCAAAAATCCAAATATGGACAGATACAAGTAGCTTAACCTACATCTTCTGACAGCACAGCTGGGTACTTGTAAACATTCTTATGGCTGCAGAATGTGTAAAGGAAAACACTATCTTGAGAAGTCTTCACTCAAAGCCTCATATTAGTTTTGATCAATAAGACTGCCTAAGCTAGCCAATAGGAAATGGTGAGAGGGCAGAAGGGCTAAAAGAGCTAGGTGGCTACTGGTAGCACTTCCCTTTGAGATTCTCTACACTTGAACCCTCTCCTAGAGTTAGGTGCTTAAACAAAGACACTCTCTTAATCTAAAAAGTGGTTGTTGTTATTGTGGGGCTTGTTGCCCTCTCCCAATCCATATTTAGCACATTCACCCAAAACTATGGAAGAGAGGGTTCAAAACCCCATTTGGACTGTTGGAGAACAAGAACTTGAACATAGTTGTCCTATATCCTAGGGAGTCCTATAACCAGTCATTCTCTGTCTCCCTAACTGTTGGAACAGAATCTGGACAGAGTGTATGAAGCAAGCAGGAGGGTTTATTACACACAACGCTAGTGGAGTGTCACTTTGCCTGTTAGGCTTGGTGAACACTGCCAGACAGTAAGTTACAATGGATTATATAAGATGCTGATGGCGGATGAAGTGATGGGTGGGGGGGAAGATCACAAACCCCTGGATAGGCGCTAACAGTGAGGCAAAATGAAGGCAATAATTTAAAGGTTACATAGTGTTTTCTGCCCATAGCTTACAGAATACCTTAAGGCAATAATTTAAAGGTTACATAGTTTTTTCTGCGCATAGCTTACAGAATACCTTATATCTAGTTAAACAAGTACTTAAACAAAGCAGACATCAGTTGTCAATTATGTATTAAGTGGCAATGTGTCTGTTAGCATCAGGAAGGTATCTTTGCACAGATATGATCCATTGGTGTTGCACCTGGGAGATTAAAGTAAAGGCAGTGAGGGCACATGACAACTGTGCATTTGTTCCTAGCACCATTGAATATGTTATGTCATGTCTCTGATGACCTTCCTCCAATGGGCTAAGCAGGAGGGGGGATAACCTTCATGTACTGTGCCTTTGGTAAGGTGTTTGTGTGCTTGTTCCAGACTTGAAATTTAGAATAGGGGTTCTTAACAGAATATCATAGCCTACCTCAGAAATGTTTACCCTACACTAACCCAATTAATATGTATTTTACAACAAGTGGGAGACTGATCTTCACCCGCAAAATACCCCATAGTTCAGGGGCTAGTGACAGGGAGATTTGAGTTTAAGCTTCTCCTCCATATCAGGAAGCATGGGAATTTGTACATAGGCCTCTTACATCTTAAATGAGTACTACAGCCACTTGATTACATTGTTTCGGGAGCACTATCACAATCTCTGCCTCTGCGGACACATGCTGAACCATGCTCTGTAGATGACAGAGGTAGAAAATGTCTAATTTTCAGATCTCACTGGGACATAAGAGATTTTACACATGCCCACCAGTGGAATGTTAGGCAGATAGGGATCTTTGGTATTTACAGGGCTGGGGAATAGCTGCATGGGGATTTACAGAATCTAGCCCTCTGAGTTTTATTTTCTTGTGAAACAGATTCATAACAAGGATTAGAAAAGAGTGTGGAGCTACCTAGGGTGGTATTTGACTAAATTTCTTTTGTTAGTTCCAGAATTCAATTATCCAGTGAATTTTAAGGAGGAATTACACTGACAGACATCAAGTTAGAAGAGATGCAAGACAACTGATGCACCCAACATAGCAACCACTGGATATTCTTTCACCAACAGTAACAAGAAAGAAACTGACAATTGGCAGTATCTTGCATCTCCACAGCTGTTCTGCAGGGAATGTTTGTAATGTTCCTGCAGGAGCTGCAACTTTACACTATAAAAATTCCCTCTAGGCCATGTGCTTGGAGCTTGGACCAAAAAAAGGGGAATCAGTTAGTATTGGTATCATTTTATCCCTTCTTGCTGACAGTTTCAGATAGCAATACTTGACAATTTTCCCCTCAAAAATGTATGTTCTGAAGGTGAATTATTCTCTTATTTCTACAGCTCTCCACTCAATGCCAAATCACAGAAAATGGAGTAATGCTTGACCAAAATGTTTTGCTCCAACACACGGATGACAGAGGGATTCTTCAAGCTCAACTTGTGCTTTAGGGTCTTTCAATCCACTAGACTCACTCCCAGTTAATTTGAAGATAAAAGCAGCAGTTGAATTATTAAGAAATTATTACAAACTTTGTCACCAGGAGCAGAATAGGAACTGTACTGAGACTGTCAGTTGCACAGTGGTCCCCTAAGAATTTATTACAAACTTTATCACCAGGAGCAGAGTAGGAACCATACTGAGACTGTCAGTTGCACAGTGGTCCCTTCTTGCTTCAGGGAAAACAATCCACACAACAGCATCATAAAAGTTACTTCCCCAACAGACTGTGGCAGTGATATAGTGGAAAAGGAAGTTACCTTGTGCAGCCACAATGGATCTTCGAGATGTGTGTCCCTGTGGCTGCTCCACTGTAGGTGTCGGGTCGCCACGGAGCTACAGGTCATAGTTTTGCACAGCAGAAGCCACACATGCACACTAGGTGCCTCATGCCGTTTGTGCCTGTTGTTTTGTGCATGCGGCCCAACCCCTCCTCAGTTCCTCGTGTATGCCTGAGTATCTAGATGAGAGAGAAAATAGAACAACACCTCCAAAGAAATAGAGGAGGAGGGTGGATAGTGGAGCATCCACAGGGACACACATCTTGAAGAACCGTCGTTACTGCACAAGGTGAGTAACTTCCTTGTCTTCTTCAAGTGATGTCCCTGTGGGTGCTCCACTGTAGACGACCTTGTAGCAGTTGTGAGTTATAAGCCAGACAGTGGGCTTTGGAGTCACCTGGTGTTGTCATACTGTTGTGGCTACTGAGGAATCAGTAGCAAGGTTTTTAAGAATCGCTTAGTGTTTCATAAAACATGGTCTGGAGACCATGTGGCTGTTCGGCAAATGTCTCTGAGTCAGATGCCTCATAGGAAGACTATGGAGGCAGAGACTGCTCTTGTTAGAATGAGCTCTAGGTGATGTGGGCTACAATAGTTTGAATATACGTTGTGAGGAAAGTGGCTTGCCCTTAAATTGGTTGGCTATTGAGATGAATAATTGTTTTGAAGTGCAGAAGCCTCTGATGTGGTCAGTGTATTAGGCAAGGGCCCTACGAACATCTAAAATACGGATCAGGGAATCCCTTGAAGATGAGTATGGTTTAGGGTATAACGACTGGAGAACGATCGGATCATTGATGATCAGACCTTTGGTAGGCAGGCTGGGTGAGTACATAAATTAGAGTCTTTAGTAAAAATTGTGTACCATGGAGCCGCAAAAAGGGCAGCAAGATCGCTAATTCTGCATGTGGATGTTATTGCAAGGAGGAATAACACCTTGGCTGTCACAATGGGTAAAGGGCAGGTAGCCAGAGGTTAGAATAGAGTTCTGGTCAACATGTCGAGGACTAGTTCAAGATTCCATAAAGGTGGCAGACGTCTACATGGTGGGGCTAGGTTATGGAGACCTTCAAAAATTGTCTAGTTACTGGATGAGCAAAAAAAGTGTGTCTCTGGAGTGGTGAATGGAATGCATTAATAATGATTAAGTACACCCTGAGAGAGGAGAAAGACAAGTTGGACTGTTTGAGGTCGAGCATGTAGTCTAAGATGAGAGGAAGTGGATCTTCGTATGGGTCCATCTGCTTTTGCTTGCACCACATGGAGAATTTCTTCCACTTATGAAGGTAGGTGGTGCGGGTGGTAGCACATCTGCAATGAAAAACGACTCTCTTTACTCAATCGGAACATCGTGTTTCAGCATATTGAAACCAGCAAGGAGCCAGGCTGTCAAGTGGAGGCTCTGAGGGTTGGAGTGCAGAAGGGTGCCCCCATGGTGAGTCAAGAAATCTGAATGACAAGTGAGTGGACAGGGGGTGGACAGACATTCAAAACAGAAAGGGATACCACGTCTGCCTGGCCCATGTGGGAGCTAGGATTACCCAGGTGTGGTCCCACCAGATTTTGCTGAGGGTTCTTCAAGATGAGTGGAATTGGGGGAAAGGAATAGAGGTGGCCAGGGGGGGATGAGGAAAGCATCTCCAAAAGACCTCCATCCTATGCCCACTTTAGTACAATAATTGAGACATACTGTGTTGTTGTGGGTATTGAAAAGGTTGATTTCTGCAAATCCGCACATACAGAAGACAGCCCTGATGATGTGGGGACTGATCAGCCACTCATGGTCCATACTGAACTGTCTGCTCAGTAAGTCTGCAGCGGTCTTGTGGATGCCGGGCAAGTACACCACTGTTAGTGTTATATTGTTGGCAATGCACCAATTCCAATGGTGGACTGCTTCAGCACACAACTAAGGGGGTCAAGCTCCACCCTGACGATTGACGACATACACTGTCAACACATTGTCAAAATTCTGACCATATGATTCACTATTTGTGTTTGAAAGCTTTCGTGAGCATTGAAGACTGCTCCAGAATGTTTGTGTAAAGTTTTCTCATGTGTGGGTGGAAAAACTTTCTAGGTGGGCTCCCCTGCCTGTCACTGAAGCCTCGGTTGTGATCTGTGCAGATGGTTGAGTGCGTTAGAAAGGTACCCCTGCCAGTAGATTGGTGGCACTGGTCCATCACTTGAGGGAAAAAGGACCTTGGAAGGGGGGGAGACAATTCGGTGGACCCGGTGTTTGATGGGGTTTAAATGGAGGCCAGCCAGTGCTGAAGACGCTTCATATGTAGTCGGGCATTTTGGACTACATAGGTAGTGGCGGCCATGTGGCCCATAAGTCATAGGCATATGAGGACCACAACTGAACGGCTGACAGTAAGTATGGTGATAAGATCCTGAATCGTTTGGAATCTCTGAGTCAGTAAGTAGGCACTGTCCTAAGGGATTGAGTCGGCTGAAGAGTAGATTTTTGGTCGTTGATAAGAAGTACTAAGGATTGGAATAGGCCTTTTGTTGTAGATATCATGTGAAGGATCTTCTCTGGAGATGTCCTTTTTATAAGGCAGTTGCCTTGAAGTTTTAGTTTGGGATGTATGACGACTAATATGATGAGACTGCCTAACTTTGCCTAGCTGCTGGTGAACATGGCACTGATGACAGTGACAGAGGTGCCAGCAAAAACGTCTGTTCCGGGCTTGGGGAGGGATGGGCACGGTTCGACTTTGCCCGAGCCTTCATCAGCACCGGTTGAGTAGTCAGTGCTGTTGGTGCCATTCATGAGGGCTTGTTGGTATCCTTCTATTTGCTGGGTGCCAAGGGTGCCAATGCTGCCATAATTTTGTGGTGGTCCTTTGGTTCCATGATTTTGGCTTGCCAGATGTGTCTGGTTCCAGAGGTACTCAGTTTATTGCTAGAGCTGATACAGGTCGATGTCAATCATGGTAGAGACCTAGCGGGGGAAGTCTCTTCTTCGACACTGGCTTCAGCACTGGTGAACTTATATGCCATTTCTCTGCCCTGGGTGGCTCAAGATAAGCAGAGGAGTGCTTGGTAGCTGAAGGCTGAAGAACCTTATTGAAGAGGAGTATGCGAAGCCGCATCTCCCTATCTCTGCAAGCCTGGGCTGTTGGCTTGCTGCAGTGAGGACATTTCTGCAGAATATGTCCCTCACCAAGGCAGTGAATAAATGAGGAGTGGCCATCGTAGACTGGCATGGCCTCTTGGCATGTGTAACATTTCTTGAAGCCTGGGGAGCCGGGCATAGTATGTCATATTATCATTATTGTTTGAATATTACATATTTTATTTCCTTTTGGGGCAGGGAGGTCGCTGGCAGCAGGGCCACAGAGGCTTTCAGGCTTCTTTTCTGCCCCTTCTTCCTCTTAAAAAAAAAAGACAAAAAAGGATATCATAGGAGTAGTGAGTAAAGTTAAAAGGGCTGAAAATGTTAAAACGAAGGAGAAGAGGGACTGATGCAGTTAAAATGCTGAGGTAGCTCTCTTAGAAGAGCAGCTTGAAGTTTCGTCTGCAGCCGAGGCTGGCAACGAAGCAACCGAGGAAGGGTCGGGCCGCGCGCACAAAAGAGAAGGCATGAACGGCACAAGGCACCTAGTGCGCATGCGCAGCCCAACCCACTACTGCTGTGCAAAACTCTGAGCTACGGCACTGAGGCAACCCGGCACCAACAGTGGAGCACCCATGGGGACATTACTCGAAGAAGAATAGTTTTGCTAACTTGATGACCATGGCCTCCTTTCCTCCACACACACGCATTAGGAGGAGGGACTAACAGCCCACAGTAGCTCCTCTTCCAGTGCACTGCTCCTCATAATATATTAAAACAAAAGAGTGTAAGTGGGCATATTATATCCCTTTACTTCTCTGGATGGGCATACCTCAGGTGTCAAAAATTCTCATTCTCTGATAAGAACTTAAGATCTGTGGCTGTGGGCAGATTCATAAAAGCTTCTAATTCGCTTTTTGGGCTGTGTCCGATATCTGAATTTTCATCATTTTTACATGGATTTACCACATAAATCATTTGTAGATATATTGTTACAATCTAAATAACTCTTTATGAATTAAACATGTACAATGCTTTCAATGTGAGCAGTGATGATATTCCATTAAATAAACTTTGCTTTACCATAAAAACGCTAAGCAGTCTTTAAAAATTCAGTATATTTTACCTGTAAAAGTAAAGAAGATTTCATTTTGTAAACCTGCTTTCTGCATTTTTACATGATGACACTCTGACTTGAGTAAAGTAACCTCACAAGAAAGTTCAATGACAAGTTTGCTTAGTATTTGAAGCAACTTCTTCTCGAAAGAAATATTGTAGATACTGTTGCAGGGGGCTGCATGATACCGGGCTGTAAACTCATAGTAAAAGTTAGGATCAGAATAAGCTGTAGGCGAAAGAAAAAACAAGATTCTGAGAAACACACATTTAAACATGAAGGTTAAGTTAAAAACAGTATTTTTGTGTGAAAGTTAAGTAATTAATTTAAAGCTGTAGTTCATCAACAAAACTGATTTACATCTCCATTGAAATGTTAATGAAGGATTCATGTCTCAGAACAATGGAATATTACAAGTTTATAATTCATCATTTCTATTTTTCATAAATATGACCTTTCATTTTTCAAAACATATCCTAACAAGGATAAAACGCCTAAACATTTCTGTTTCACTTACAAGAAATGGAGACTATACGTGCTTAAGAATATGAAGGAAGGCAATAGCAATTTCAGAAGACGTGTTGAAATGTGAGGTGTAATTTATCATTACACGAATTGCATTTAATATTACATAATTATAATTCTAATACAGTATAATATTTTGCACCTTCTAGTGAGAACCACACAAGCTATTTTAAAAAGGGTTTCAAGATTGATTCCTCACCTCCAATGAGATCCAAGAGAACTCTTGCAGCTGAGTAATGGGTCAGCAGCATGTCTCTAGATCAGTCTCCCTACTGGTCCTACTGAATAGCTGATATGGCAGGAGCGGGGTATAGTGAATAGAATCTCTTTTGCTACAATCTGTACTGAATTGAAGTTTGCCTCCTTAGTACTGCACATGGTGAAGGGGACCAAGATGATAGTAGGGGTAACAGATTATCACAGAATAGATAGATCACAAGGAGACAGAGGAATAATGCAAGCTAAAGAAAAAGAAGTGGGAAAGCATCAGAGCAACAGAGAATAAAGGAACAGGGAAGGGGAATGGCAAAAATCAGGGATATGAGAAGAAAAAGAACATAGAAGTAGAGAAATCATATAGCTGGCTTAGAAAACAAATGTAATACAAACTACATGATGCTATATTGATATCCATTTAAAGATAAGTCACTAGGCTGTTCGCTGCTTGTTTATAATGCAGTATCTCTCATTAATTCTGATTTTTAAGTCATACCATCATATATTTTAATATATATAAAATAATATATTTATATATAGTGATTCCTGTACATTGGGAAACCACATCTGCTTGTGTGCCCAGGTCTTGTATATTCTGGAAGCCCTGTAAATTTCTATAAATGTCATTTTGCTTTCTGATATTTAGATTGGAGGTTTCTTGGAACAAGAAAGCTGAAGCAAGGCAACAGAATAACAAAATAGATGTTGGAAACAAATTTTGTCAGCATTTTGATCAAAAAAATAAAATTCAAAAGAAGTCCCCCATTTCAGCTAAGTTCTTCAGCAAGTTAAACTACTGAAAATCAGATATTTTTTTTAAGGTTGGAAATAGTGAGCCAAATTCAGGTGAATTTAAAACCAGGAATTAATTTTGTTTTGCTCAATGTTTTTAGGCAACACTGGCTTCCAATCTAAAATCTAACTGAAGTCAATAGTTTTATTATTGTCTTTAGTTGGTAGTAGAATCATGGTAATGAAGAGATAAAATTGTATCTGTAATATCTGTATTTCAGCAGAATCATGGGGCATTCTGCTATATTATGCAACAAAATTTACTCTGAATAGTGAAGCAGAATTAGCATGTTCTTTAAAAAATGCTAACACTTTATATTTTATTACACAATATTCCCTTAGAAGGGCAGGACTTATTTGACAACACTGTAAAAACAAAACTGAATGAGAATTTTACATTGGTGTAAACTGTGTCTGAGTGATGCTCCTGAAGTCCCAGGAATAAGGGGTAATAAAAGATATTAAAATCAATCTCCAAAAAGGAATAATTCAGCATGAAATGAAATTACTGTGGCACAGTTATTAAGTATTTTCACCCAGTCAGTTTTTCAGTCTTCTATTTTTCAATTATGTTTCATGTCTCCTTTTAAATGCAGAGAGCTATGCTTAACAATTTCTCAATCAAAAGACCAGAAGATTTCCTTTAAGGGACTGAAAATGGCATTCCATGAATTCTCTGGTAAGTGCCAATTAACAGCAAAGTTACGAGAAGTATAGAATTCTCCAACTCTATTCAAATTAAATTAAGCTGGCATATCAGAATTTCAAACCATCAACATGCATTTTAAAGTACAAAATGTTTTTAACTAATTTGATCTCTTACCATAAATAACATATTTGAGCAAATAGTTTTTTTCAGCCTGTTCTTCAGTTGGTTTAAAAACGAGGGAACAAGTGTAAACTCCACTCATGTCATATTTGAAGTGTCTGAATATTAGGGTTCCTGTTGGTGTTATTTTCACACTGCTATTTTCTAGTGAATAAATAACATAGTACAGTAAGTTTAGTTTTACTTTCATGATAACATGATAAAATACAAAAGGAGGAGTCTCTATGGCTATAGTTCCAACCATGCACAGAATGGTACTTATACCCTTAATACAAAAAGGAAGTTCACCAGTAACTGTAGTTCTTTGACTGTATTACCACTGCATATTCACCATGATAAACAGAAAGCAGGCTGTATGGGGTGTTTATGCCAGGACATTTTCATGATTACATTCCAAACAAAGTTTACATAGGTATTAATGGCTTACGGTAAGAAAGAAAAAGATTCTTTTAACAGATTTTTTTGGGGTGCTGCAGATATCTAAAACACTGATCTTAATGATTTTTTTAAAAATCCTGTGTTACAATATACAATGCATTTATCAGTATTACATTAAGCCCAGATCTTTGCTATGCGTTAGAGTTTTGGCTCTTATGAGTCAGAAGTAGTAGGCATGACACTAGTTGTTTTGTAGGATGAAATCTTATTTGCAAGCTCTTTGAATCATGCATCTGTCTACAAACCCTGAAGCCATGTTTTACTTTCTTCTGGGGCTTCTATTCTTTGAATTGGTGACACACATAAGGTGACAGTTCCAAACGAGGAGAATTTTTATCTGTTTTTACTTGTTCTTATATAGCATGGATCCTAAACATTCCCCAGAGAAACCGTACAAGCCTTAGTGAATGTTTTTTATTCTCCTTTCCAGTATCCGTAAATATTGTATTAGCAGGGCTCGACAAATCACTGTATCTACTCGCCCGTGGTGAGTAGATTTCAGCCGGTTGCCCCGTTCACCAGTGCTGCGCGCATGCGCAGTGCCAGTCTGGCACATGCTCGGTGCAGGGCTGGCGAGTAGATCTCGCCGCAGTTTGTCGAGCCCTGTATATTAGTATTTGCAAGGAGAGCATCACTATTTCTAATTGACTCTTAGATTTGTTTAGGATTTTAAAACTGAGCTATAGCACCATGAGATGGTAGGGCAGTGCTGATGGACTGCGTCTTCAATTGTTGCAGTGCCGTGTTGACTGTTCTCGGTGACACAAGTTCAGGGGCTGCATTAGTTGGAAGGGTATTTGGTGCTGAGAGCTGGGAAGCAGGCCTGAAGGGCCTGAAGCCTCGTTACATGCGCTATGTGTGACATGTCCGGAAAGGATCTGGTCAGCACTTGAAGTGCCCAATGGGCATCATACATGCTGAGGCTCGATGTTTTTTCAGCCCTGTGTGTTAACTTTTCAGTTGTGTGCCACTTGGGCAACTGCCTCTCATGAGGTAAAGATGAGACGCATCTCTTTGGGGATTTTTTTCCCTATCGATTTTAGTCTTGACAGTCCCTTGTGTGCCAAGGTCAGGAAAGGGACGTTGTGCCTTTTTGAGCATAATCATTTTCAAATGGAGGTTCCTATCTCTCTGTGCTCACACCTTAAGTTTCACACAGTGCTGACAGTCCTGTGGACATGGGACTCTCATAGGCATTTTACACGTTCAGTACATCCATCAGAGATGGGCATTGCCTCACTTCAGGCTGAAGAGCACTTGGAGCCCGGTGACACTGTTATCTCGTGGTAAACAGTAACCGGAGGGAGAGCAACTCAGAACAAATGAACAGAGGGGTTTTTTTTGGGGGGGGGAGGGGAGAAGGGAACAGGGAAGAACCTGGAGAAGACAAACAACTAGGGAGAAGAACTTGGAATAGGAATTCAACTATTTAATGTTGAGTAATGAAGAGCACTACCGAGATCCGTCTTGTGCCAAGGATGGTAAGAATGAACTGAAGGAAGGGTGGCCGCACATGCACGGTAATGCTGAGTGGCACCCGCACACCTCAGAAGTGGCCCCAGTGCACTTCTATGAAGAATCCAGTCTGCGGCACTGGGACTCACTGACGCCTCCTGTTGAGCACCCCCAGGGATGTCTCTTGAAGAAGGTCAGAATTTTAGGCCCCCCTTCTGACAGGCCTGCTCGACGCCTCCTGTTGAGCACCCCCCGGGATGTCTCTTGAAGAAGAATGTCAGAATTTTAGGCCCCCCTTCTGACAGGCCTGCTCATCCCTGGCACAAAACCAAATCAGAGGCGAGAGCATACTAGGTGCCACAAACAATAAGGACTGGTCCATGTTAATGCCATAGGATTCATTATAGTCACTCCAAAGAGCAGAAGAGACACATCTATGTCTCCATGGTCAAAAAGCTGAGTTTACAAACCCCCTCGGGATATATAGTAGTGGTCACATTTCCCTGCCAATTTGGAAACTCCAAGATGTATTGCATCTCTTTCAACAATACTTCCCTGAACCTGACTGCAGAATCCCCACTGTGTGCAAGTTCCCTGAAAACATAACTGAAAACTATTAGTCAAAAAGAATTGCAATGGGTGCACATCAGCACCGATTCTGCACTCACCAGTGGTGGGGGGGAAGTGGTCCTACCTGCATTGCTCAGCTTACTACCACTAATGAATGCTGTTGCCAGTGCCAGGCCCCCTCCTGCTAATACCCCAGGCTGCAGCACTTCAGAAAGAGAGTGAAAGGATGGAATGGTAGGCGAGAAGAGATGGGGCACCCGTGGTCTGGGAAGAGTCACATGGCCATGCCTCCCCTTTGTCTGTCATCAGAAGTCACTGGTGCAGGGGTGGAACACTGATATGGCTATTAGATGCATTTTGATCAAAGAGAAGGCCAGGCCCTGGTGCTTTTCATGAAGCAAGTAATCCAGAATGGACTGCAGAGACAACTGGGTCAGAGATATATTCCACTCTCACTCTCAGCAGGAGCTGTGCTTCCACTTTTTCCAGATAAGTTGTACTAATAGTGGGATTTCTACTTTTCAAGAGAACCAGCTGGACCTGACGAGAGCAGGTTTGTTCCTCCAGATTCAACTATGCAGCATCCATGTTGGGAGGTAGAAAGAGGGAAAGTTCAGGCGCTGTGATCTTGAGTGGACAAGCCTGGGTAACTGGCTAGTGTCCATGGGGCTGCTGTCATCAGGTCCAAGAGCATAAAATCCCATTTAATTGGTTAAATGTAGCACTAAAACTGCTTTTAACTAATTAAAGGGGCATGAGGGGGCCGCTCCAGGATTGGGCTGAAACAGCCCCTGCCACAGGCCGAGGCTGCTGCCACAGCTCCTGGCCCGTGCCTGTGCAGGTGCTGTTGGCTCCAAGCCTGAGTCATAGCTAAGGAAACTGCTCCCAGCACCAATTAACCGTTACCCAATAAACATCGCCTATTAAGGGTGATGCTTACCAGGTAACCATTAACTTCCGTTAACATACCTAATGAGCACGTTGAACCAATGCTGGTGAGGCCATGGTAGAGTGATCATGAGGACTTTGGCCTAGTCCCTCTTAATCTTCAAGAGGGCACTGCTGATGATTATCAGGACGCCCATCCCTCCCAAAACAGGAGAAAGATGCTGGTATTGGGATATGTAAAAATTAAGAGGGGTCCGGGAAAAAAATACAATAATGATAGGGGGATCTGGCCAGACCAGGCATTGTCCTTTGAACATGTTTATTCCCCTTTGTCCTTGCATCCTAGAAAGATAGATAAAGGGTCCAGCCAAAACAGGTATTATCCTTTCTGATGTATAAATATGCTCTTTTTCCTTCGTTCTTGTAACCTAGAAAGATAGATAAACATACAAGTGCTCTTCTTTATTTTGTCTTTTGCTTGTTCTCACTTGCTCTATAAAAATACTTTCTGGGTCACATCCTTTGTAATATCTGTAACCTGCTGATTCAGGAAGTATGTAATGTAGAAAAACATTGATCTAACTGAAAATCCTGTAAACAGTAAAGGGGGGAATAATAATATTAATCACCAGCCTATTAATATTTACTGTATAGGAGTTAACATTACTAAATAAGGATTATGGGGAAGTAGTGACACGTGTGAATTAACATACTAAAATGGATAAAGAAGCATAATTGGTGCCAAATCATTGCCACTCAAAATGTTTTGTTGGGGGTTCAGAGTAAACATGCGTCAGCAATAAAGTAGTCCGTTTATCCCATCTACTCTTGGGTCTCCTGTTTCTTCTCTAGCAACTGGAAAATCTGCTAATGAGACTAAGTAAAGAGAAAAGCCTGTGACATTTCCTGTTCTGCCTGGTAGCAAATTGGTCCACCTGGGGAATCCCCCATCTCTGGAAGATCATTCTGATAGCCTGCAAATGGAGCGACCACTCATGGTGAGAAAAGAATGAACTGCTGAAGCGATCCGCCAGTGTATTTTAGACACTGGGGAGATGTAAAGCCTCTAGGCGAATGACATACTAGACACAAAAATTCACAGAGATGGAGGGCTTCCTGACAGAGGGACAAAGACTTTGTACTTCCTCCCACCCCCATCCATGAACATAAAACAGGGAGGCTGTATTGTCCATGAACACCTGTATCACTTGATGGGACAGCTGAAGGAGGAACACTTCACAAGCCAAAACAGATATTCTGAGTTCCAACACTGATGTTTAATGCCAGCTCTTTCTGGGACCAAAACCCCTGGATTTACAGTAATCCCCCATATTGGGCAGACTCATCCAACACTAACACCATCAACGGGTTTGGAATCACAAAGGTTACCCCTTCAGAAATATTGCCCAGGTAAGACCACCATTCCAGAGCCGTAAAAACCATGGAGCTGGGAGGGCCCTGCCTGCGACATGGGGGCCACTCCATCCCAGTCATGCCCCACATTTAAACAGTTAACTGACTAAATGCAACGTTTAACCAGTTAACTAATTAAACAGGATTTTACATCCCTAATTCACATTATATACACTCACTACAAAAACTATACAATGTACCACAAAGTCCAAACACTGAGAGAGAAGCCTTTCAAGAACAAGAGTTTCAAAGCAATTGTCATGGGTGGTAAGACGGAATTGAGAGGGTGTGGAGCAGGCAGATCCCTTATATCTACACATCCATCTGTGGCTCTAGAAGGTTCTAAAGCTAGTCCTTATGGATATCACTAAAGGGGAGAAATCTCTAGCAACTGCACATGCAGCATTCACATAAACCTAGCATGGAATGGACATGAGCAGGCACTCAAAAACAAGAAATACCCTCCCCCTTTAAAAACACATACACACTTCAATTTCATCTTAAATTTTCTTTTCATCTTTCCTTTCCTCCTACATGTTTAGATTCAGTTGCTGAGGTGTTACCTATATTCTTTTAAAAAAAAATAAATGTGAGAAGTTGGAGTACCACAAATCCTTTCAGTAGTGTTCCATCACAATTTAGATAATAAATGCACAACCACAGGAAACATTAATTAATAAAAATACCACAAATCACTACCTGCAACAAGGTCACCTTCTGGTCCATGCCACTGGAATACTGGATCGATCAGCTCTGAATTTCGTAGCCGATTTGTTACACACAGAATACGTGGACTGTTGTGATTCAACTTGACATAAATTTTGACTGAAATACAACATATGATAATTAGCAAATATCTTAGATAACAAATTGTCTGTACAATCAAATAAACTAATGAATCACAATCATGAAATAGATGTTTGAAGAATGATCCCAAAATGCTGGGACTGGTCCTCCTAACTACATCACCAACTGTGAAATATTAAAGATAATCTTTTTCTACCCTAATCAAAATCAAATGAACTGTTGGGACTTCTTCTAGTTCTATTGCATATTCTTCTATAAAATCTAGGTCTCTTCTGTTTGACTTTATTTAATCTAGTTCTCCATAAAGAACAAGCATACCTTCCAGTGCCCCCATGACCCTTCTGGAGGGACAAAACAGGTTTGCACATCCATCCAACAGGTTCTTATTTTTGGGGTTCTGTAGTTTTATTCTGTCTCATCCAGGGCTCAATCTATACTTAAAGTCAATATGGGGGGACACAGAATTAGTTTGGAGCCTGGGTCATTTTGCCATTGCATGCTAAGAGCAAGTAACTCTATATCCACTTTTAGCAAACCCGGATGGTGCAATTTGGTTACTTCCTTTCTGCATGGCTGAGAGAGGGATCTGTGTCAGAGTGAACTGGCTAGTACTTTATCCAAATAAGAGATGTCTTTTGCCAGTTTCATATTGTTTAATTACAATTATAAAATGCTTTATTTACATTAATAGCTCTCTTGTTTCAGTATCAATTAAGAACATGACTTTTGCTGGTAGGCCTTTCTTGTTTCATACAGAATTTCATACTGCTTTATAAATTCTCTCTCTCTCTGTTTATGTGCGTGTATATATATAGAGAGAGAGAGAGAGAGAGAGAGAGAGAGAGATCCTGCCTGTTTATGTGCGTATATATATATATATATATAGAGAGAGAGAGAGAGAGAGAGAGAGAGAGAGAGATTTCCTGCAGGATGACAGAATCATGTTATCCACTTCTTCATGCCATCGGCGCTGTCATTTGCCTCCGCCACTTGCTGTGGCTAGCCTCAGTGCCATCCCCTCTGGGCATGGGCTGCTCTAGGTCTGGCTCCCACTTCACATTCCGGGGGGCTGCGCTGCTGTGGAGGAGCTGCTGCTGCTAGGGCTGGGTCCCCTCCACCATCCAAGCCTGATCCCCCGCTGCCCCACATCCTCTGGGGAAGCTGCCACTACAGCTACATACAGGCACGAGGGTCCCTGCCAGGCACAATAGCTCAGTGGTACTACATGCTCACTCCTGGTGGGGTTGTACGGGGAGATTTCGGCAAATCCATTTATGTGCCTGAACCACTATTACTTACGGCTTAAACTTTAGCAACCAAGCTAACAGGCCCAAATTAGACCGAGACTGCGACTTTCGCATGACTACAGTCAGGGAGGGAAGGGGGAGTTTGACTCAACTTTCGCATGACCACAGTCAGGGAGGGAAGGGGGAGTTTGACTCTGTGTCCTTCCTGAGGCCCAATTCTCAATTGAAATTGCTGAAGTTTGTCTAAATGCCATAAGACATATATCTATCAGGGCCCTCAAGATTTTGCATTGCTTGGCACTGTATTTTCTTTTTCTCTGAAAAAGAAAAAAATGCATCTGGTGAAAGTGATGATCAGAAGAAAACCTCTTGCCTAACCTTTAAAAAGTGCTTGCCTAACAAGTTTTTGAGTGACATGTTATTGTAATACTAATGGATAAATAGGGAAGGAAAATTTGAGTTAGGGGGGACAATTTTGAGAACACTTGGAGAGAAGCCTTGAGGACTCCTTGAGGACTCTTCACTTTTGGACGCATCTTCGTCCCCACCGGCAGACGGAAGACTAGCCAACGGAAGCCTGCTTGGTGTCACTCGAGAGCCACACACAGTCTGGATGTTCTCTTTTGAATTACATAGCGCACTTTCGAAAAAAGGAGTTCTTCATCGTAAAACAATGTTTTCAGCAATCGAAAAAACTGCCGCATTTTTTTATTTACTTTCAAAAGAACGCAGCAGCAGTCTAGGCACAGGGGAAGTTTTTTCAAAAAAAGGCCACTTTTTTCAAAAAACCCTATAGTCTAGACACACCCTGGGTCTGCTAAAAAGGTCATAAAGTTGGTTTCTATTAGCATATAAATGGCAAAATAGTCATCAAAGCCCCCATCAATATTATTTTAACCATCAGTGAAAACCAAGATTGATTACTCCCTTTATGAATACCTGGAAATGTGGTTGATCCTACTATTTTCAAATCATTATGTTTTGGATTTGCACTTCTTGAGGATCTTCTTGAAGATTGAACTGTTAAAATATAAAAAAAATTAAATAAGAGTTATAAAAACTTATCTGGAAAAGAGAACATAAGTACATTTCTAAGTTTTAACAGATGTGTCATCTTACTTGTAGTAGTTTAGCACAGGGAGGTCAATATGTAGACAACTACATGATTAACCAATATGCCTAGGCATATCAGTTATTCCTGTTGACTACATACATTCTCCCCCACCCGCTGCCTCCATATCAGAGGCAGCAAGGGGGGATGAGGGGGCAGGTAGGAGCTGATACCCATTAGGGCTCCCTCTCCACATGCACCAGACCTTGTGGAGCTGCCTGCCCCACCCCTCCCCACGCACTGCTGCCTCTGCTGGGACCCTCCACGGACAGAGCTGCTGGACCCAATGTGAGCCGGGTCTAGGAATGTGAAAGACTAGTCGGTTCCCCCGGGGTGTCCCCAGGCTGCACATGGCGTTTCAAAGCTGACCCCAACCTCCACGCAGTGCTTTCACCTTTGAAGTGCAGCAACAACCTTAGGGCTGTGGATACATTTCAAAGGCGGAGGTGTCTAAACAACTAATCGGGCAGTCAATGCAAAATGCATCAACTATTCAATTAGTCAATTACCTGATATTTAACATCCTTAGCCGGGACTGAGCAAGCCCAGTTCAGTCCTGGCTCACACCAGGTCCAGGATCTACACCCGCTTTGGCTCTGCAGTTTAAACATAGTGGGAGCCGGGCTGCCTGTGTGCCCAGCTCTTACTATATTTCAACTGCAGAGCTGCAGCAGGGGTAGATCCTTCTGACCACCTTCCCTTATCGACTAATCGTGTCATCAATACAAATTGTATTGACAACACGATTACCCAATTACCCGCCTCTTAACATCCTTCATGCATTCCTGAATAGAGCCCTTAATCTGTGTTCTGATCATTAATAAAACAAGTTTAACCATTTTATTGCCATAATCTCATAATTAGAACAATCTGAAATAAATGTATGCACTACAAATTGAACTAATCATTTACTGCATACAAGAATCTTGTACACAAAACAACAATACATAGAGAACAAAGCCTGCTCACCATATGCAGAACTCCCATTGACTTCCCCAAACAGCAATTTAAATACATTACTGATCTATTTTAAAGCATAATTTAAAAGCATGTATATTATATCCCCCAACTTTGGTTCCTCATCCCTGACTCCCATTTTTAATACCCAATCTTCCCACCACCCACGGACCCTTTTCCTATCACTCCCCAGAACCATTATACATTCCAGTCAAGTAGCTTCCTCCCACCTCCTACTCAGGAGCCAGCATGGGGACCACAGAGCACAAGAGACTCAGTCTCTCTGCTCTCAATTCCAGGCACTTCATAATCAGGAGGGAAAATCTTGCTTTGCCCCTTCATCCCTGGACTGCAACATGCTCAGTACAAGCAGTCTTTGAAGAGTTGCCAAATACAGGCAGTCCCCGGGTTACATGGCGTCTTTGAAGAGTTGCAAATTACAGGCAGTCCCCGGGTTACATGGATCCCTACTTACAAACGGGGTGAGGCAACACCGCACTAGCTGCTTCCCCCCAGTAGACCAGGGAGACGCGAAGCTAGCGCCCACCCCCCCAGCAGACCAGGGAGACACGGAGCAGCTTTTCTCAGCAGACACCTCAGCTTGAGAATAAAGGACTGAGGGAAGTGAGGTGTGGTAGAATAAAACTGAGCTCTGGAGAAATGTTTGGCTAGAGTTTCCCCTACAATATGTACCAGTTCCGACTTACATACAAATTCAACTTAAGAACAAACCTACAGTCCCTATCTTGTACGTAACCTGGGGACTGCCTGTATGGTAACGGAGATTCTCCGGGGCTTGTGATTTGGCCAAATTTTGGCAGATTTTCAAGGAGATGATCAAAAGTACCCCAGGCATGAGGGCTATATTCTATAACAAATTTTGAGTCCCTGCTCCAAAAGATGGGGCACTATAGCATCTCAACAATTTTAAAACATTTTAACATAGGCAAAATTATGTATATTTTCCACTATTCCTGTTTCACAAAATGAATGAACCATTTTTGCCAAAGTTTTCTAAAACAATTCAAGCTAAGGCAGGCATGGAATGGAAAATTACAGTCCAAAAGTTAAAGTCTGGCAAACTTGTAAGTAATTGAAAATAGAATCTTACAGTAAAAGGTGGTGGACAATTTTAACAGTAATATCACTATGTACATCATCTGAAATATAAATAGGTTTTTTTTCCAGTAATCACACACAGGGCCAGTCCTAACCAATTGGTGGCCCCGAGCAGCCACTGAGGAAAATTTGTGGAGCAAAAAAAAAAAAAACCACCACCCCTTTTGCGTGTCCCAAGTGGTCTTCCATCGGGTTTTATCGATGGCCCCTTGAAAATAGTGGCCACGGCTCTGATCACACAATTATAATGAAGGCATTTATAACATCTGTGACCACAGATTCAACTGTTATTTAAAGAGAGGATTTTTTCATATATTTTTCACATGCATTATGACCGGGCAGAATTTAGTATGTTTAAATTAGAGATGTTATAAATTGTTTAATTCTTAGCAGTTACGTGATTATTCGGTGACTCCCAGGGGTGGGACCAGCAGCCAGTGTGCTCCTAGCCCCATTCCCAGGGAGTCCAGTCCCCTTCCACCTTGTGCAGCTGCCTCTGTATTCATTTTTTAGTATTTTTGCTTCACTTATAAATTGTGTTGTGTTATTTCTTAATTTACACAGCTTCTTTATACATTTCCAAGTAATCTGCTGAATTAAGAATTATATACATACACCTACCTCATTATAGGGTTATGCTGTTTCCAAACAACGAATGAAGAACATACAAGACTGAGGAATCAAAACCTAACAATTTTCACTGTGTATCCTCACATATTTCTGAAACCAGCAGGTATATAGCAGAAAGGCTTGTCTGATCTGTATTAAAGTAAAAACTTTACTTTTTTGTCTTTCCTTCAAATGTTTTATATTTGTATCAGACCTGATCTGTTGAATATATAGTACACATAGACAAACTATTCCAATAGAAGATATTACCTCATCCACCTTGCGAGTCTCAAAATATTCTAGGAGTAGGGATGTAAAATCTTATTTAATAGTTAACCATTAAGTTGATCCAGTTAATCGATTAAACAAGACAGGCGGGGAGAGGGGCAGGCTGCTCTAGCTTGGCTGGACTGAAACGGCTCCCCTCCCCCACCCGCTGCAGCCAGGCTGGCACTAGGGATATTGGATGTCAATTAATTGAATAATCATGTAACCAGATCAAATTTTAGTGGTTACACGACTATTCGATAGGCCCCGGGGGCAGGGCCAGCAGCCAGTGTGCTCCTCGCCCCACTCACAGAGGCAGCAACATGGGGCAGTAGCTGCAGCCCCTGTCCACAGGGGGCTGAGCTCCCCATGGAGAGTGGCTACCCCAGCACAGATTCATATCAAGTCCAGTCCCCTGCCCTCACGGCAGGACCAAGCACCATCTAGATTGTCCCTGATAGATGTCTATCCAAACTGATCTTAAATATCCCCAGTGATGGAAATTCCACAACCTCCCTAGGGCAATTTATTCCAAGTGTTTAACCACCCTGACAGAAAATTTTTCTAATGTCCAACCTAAACCTCCCTTGCTGCAATCTAAGCCCATTGCTTCTTGTCCTATCATCTGAGGTCATGGAGAACAATTTTTCTTCCTCCTCCTTGTAACATCCTTTTAGAAACTTAAAAACTGCCATCATGTCCCCTCAGTGTCTTCTCTTTTCTAAACTAAATGCTTGGGCCTGCGGCAGCCTCCCCTACCCCCCTCACCACCAGCTCTGCTGGTGCCGCTGATAAAGAGGCAGCAGTGCAGGAGGGCAAACACCTCCATGGGAGCTGATATGCACAGGCAGCCAACTTAAAGCTGGCTTCCCAAGTGTACTGGCTCCTGCTGGCCCCTTCACCCTATGTGCTGCTGCTTCTCTATCACAGGTAGCAACACGGGGATAGATGGGTATAGGGGAGCCTGGACTACCCTGCCTTTGACAATAAATGGTGATGTCTGCCTTGTATACAGTGCGGATCCCTAAGAAGAAAACCCAGGCCTGTCTGAAGTCTGGTGCACATTGGAAGGGAGAATCTGTGAGAGGCAGAAATGTTTTGAATAACAATGCAGATTAAGCATGGTACATGAGACCATGTCAAGAACACACGACAAGCAACCTTGTTCTGTTTCTGATAAGCAAACATTACAGATGCAGCCATACAACTGTCAACTACACACATAGCAGCAACATCCTGAGTAGTGTGTACTACAGAGGCATTGGGCATTTTACGTATCCTACACAATATGTAATCAATTGGTAAATATTATTAGAGAGACCAAGTTTCGCTTTGCTATAAAATGGGCTTAGTAAGAACAATCGATGGGAGGGAATGGACAGGATTGACCCACAGGTCCTGCCTGATGTAACTAGAAGTAAATAGGCTCCTCACACTAGCGACAAAGTGCATGGTGTTCCGATGCATGGAAAGAAAAGGAACCACGACCTCCTGCCTGGTACTGAAAGTAGCATATGGGTCAAGTGTAAGTGAATTAGGCTTTGTTATTGCATTATAGTAGATCTTCTATTAATTGATTTTGCATTACTTGGCACTGTATTAATTCATTTAGAATTTATAGTATTTAAGATTTAAATTGTTTAGTAATTGTTTTCAAGACTTGTAAAACTTAAACAACCGTATTAACTGCTTAAAGTTTGCAATAAATAAGGAAGTGGTTCAGGACACTCCAGAGATACTGGTTTCCCTTGGCGATTGACAGAATCTGGTCTGGCCCCCACTGGTTAGCTGTTAACATCCCTATTTAGAAGACACTTGTATAGTGCACCATTTGAAAGTATAGATTAATAACATTCACCAATTAATCTCCCTATATTCTCAAAGTAAAAGCAATTATGAATAAATTAAATTACTCCTCATCTACAGACAACGCTGAAACTCAAACAAATTCTTTCCA